AAAGAAGAAAGAAGAATGCGAATGATTGGAATGGAATTAACGATGCTAAACGTAATGTATGTTACTGAATAGTGCAGCAGATCGAGAGAAACAATGATTTAATATTAAACTATCGTTGGTAAAATAATTTTATAACGAGCAGAATCGCCCCACGTAACTAATAATTAATTAAACTTTATGTGCCCAGACATCGCATCAAATAATATTCCATCAAAGAAAAATCTATGAACAAAATTACATGTATTATAATATTTTTCCAGATAGAATATTACTTACGATTACAATGAAAATATAATCTCTAGCATCATTTGTGGTGCACGAAAGTAAAAATGTTATTTAAGTTTTTAGTCAATGTCATTTTAAACACCGATATGATCTGCACTATTCTTTTTAATAAGCGTCAATGACTTTAAAAATCTATGAATCTATCTAGATTAAAGGTATAAATTCGTTATACTGCCCCCATTTTTATGAGACCTGCTTGACTTCCTCTACCCACACTGGCATCTTCCAAAGAGTCTAAGTCTAAAGCGGACTCTATCATGGTCGTATCTTGTAATAATCTAAGTCTAGATGCAGATAAGGGGGTTGTTACAGTTACCGATGGTATAGAGGACGTATCCAACGTGGAAGAAACCACAACACTCTGTCTGGAAGGCAGCGGAGCGATCTCGTCGATATCAATTGGAGCAATATTAAGCGACGCTAGTGGTACTTCATTGGTAACAAGTTGGCTTACGCTGTTTGTGGTGCTACCTAAAATAAAAACAAACATTCAACGTTCATTGCTTGATTTGATTTTGCTTTGATATCCGTTGTGTACATACATCCTGCATATAATGTGCAGAAACTATTATAACTTTGATAATTGGCATTAATGTCCAGTGCCAAGCTGTTATGAATGCTCTTTAGCGACAAAAACTATTATTTTGTATTATACAACTCATTGCAAAAGTGCAGTATTCGCTGTCTATTTCTTCTATATGTGAAAAATATATATATATATATATATATATACTAAGTAGCTTAAAAAAAAATATATCCCAGTCATTGATGTCATATTAACGTGGCTCCTATTTATACAGGGTGTATGATAATTAAAATATAAAAATATACCTTAAATAATTACAGTTATATGATCTTGAAAAATATTGGATCATTTTGTAATACGGTTTTTAGCATTTTTATCAATAAAGAAAAATCGCATTACATATATCATGAACCAATATGTGCAATAA